TGCCCTAGAGGGACCACCTCCCCAGACCTGTATGGGAAATGTGATCTCTTCTGAGAGCTAAGTTAGGATTCATTCAGTTCTCTGCGACAGGACATTTAGGAAACAGTGGTCAGCAGTAATTCTTTGACCAGATACTTTTATATTGTATCATGGTCTCTTTGGTTGTTTAATGCTTTTTTTTTTTTTTTTTTTGAGCTGAGGACCGAACCCAGGGCCTTGCATTTGCTAGGCAAGTGCTCTACCACTGAGCTAAATCCCCAACCCTAATGCTTCTTTTAAAAGTATTGATTTACTGGTGCCCTGTTAGCCCAGTTGGGTAGAGCATGGGTGTTGATAATAATGTTTATTTATTTGAGACTTGTGTCTACCGAAGCCCAGGCTGGTCTTGAATTCTCTGTGTAGTGGAGTATGGCCTTGAACTCTTGATCATCTTGCCTCCTGAGTGCTGGGATTACGGACATGCGACACCGTTCCCAGCTGTTTACGTTTCTTGCAGGAAGGCACCTGTGTCTTTGCATTCCCAGTTGTACCAGCTTGTACCTTGCTCGGTACTGTCAAAGGTATGTTGAATGAACACGAGTAATGGTGAGCAGAGAGAGAGAGCAAGGCTCGGAGCTGGGTGTTATAGAGGATCCTCAGTTCACGAGGTGAGGATGGGATATCCATCCATAGGGGCTGCCTGGACTTGAGAGAGGCAGTGGAGAGGACTGCCTCCCGGGATGTTGAGAAATAGTGATTGGGTGGGGGTTTATAATCCTATGGGATGTTAAAGTTGATGCAAGTTTTTCATCTAGTCAGCGTATTATTTGTTTGATTTTACACAAAATTTCAGAGCTGGAGGTAAGCATCTAGAATATTCCTGGGTTCTGACTGGATTGGATGGGGCTCTAGGTTGGCCCTCTGTTCCTGAGTGTCTGCAGATGGTGAGCTAGGGAGCCCAAGGTCCTGGACACTGGGAGACTTCTGGCCAGAATTCTCCTCTTGCCCAGAAAGGGAATAAGGTATGTGCTAATGGGGGCGGGGACAGGGCCGCCCGTGGTTTGCCACACCCTCTCTGCTCTTGGGTGTTGGGAGAGACTGACACCTTGCAGAGATGGGGGAGGCTGTGAATATTATGGGATGTCTGGCCAGAAGGCCTGTGTGAGGTAGTGGAGTGCAGCACAAGTATTATGGGATGTGGGTGGCCCTGGGTTTGCGTTGGGAATATTCTGGTATCATGGGCTTCTTGCAATTACGGGATGTCCGGGTAGATGGAGTAAATAAATGATGGGACGTTTTCCCACCGTTAGGGGAGATGGAGCTGTCCATTTGTGGGGTGACAGTAGAGCGGCTGGTCATGAGGGAGTATCTCTTTGCTAGGGAGGAGTGTGATTCATGGGCCATGGAGCTAGAAGGAGGCTAGGAGGGCTGGGGGTGGTGATGTGAGCATCTAGACCCTGGTGCGCAGGGGCTGAGGGCAGCCCAGGGGGTCGGCCAGGATGGGCGGTCAGTATGGAAAGTGGGGGACCAGGGGCTGAGGGCAGCTCAGGGGGTCGGCCA